AATAATCCTGTGATCACGTTTTTTCAGCCATCATTAGATCTGGCCCTTATATGTAATATTTTTTTAAAAAATTAGGCCCTTATATGTAATTATTTTTAATTTGGGCCCGTACTTGTTGTCCGAAGCGTAGCGAGGACTCTATTGTTTGAGTAAACTTGAATGCACGTTCATGCAATGTTAGTCAGATACAACCAATAAAAATCGAGATTTGGCGGGACCCGTGATGATCTAAGGTCAGTGCAACTATGGATATTCGCTTCGGACTTACATCAGATTCTGATTTCCTAGTAATTATTTGACCCTTATTTGTAAATTCCCCCCAAAAATATCGCAGTAACAGAATTGGTAAAGTATCACGGAAATCATGCAGAATTTACTATTTGAATTGCAGAATACGTATTTTAGCATGGACGGAATTACCTATTATTGCCGCAGAAAATCATCGGCTTTGAAGATGTGTTATTTTTCTACTAGAATCCGTTCCTGGTTTTAGCGCAATTACGTTGCGCAGCTACCTTATTTTATTAATTTGCAAACAGTTATAATAGATTTGGAATTCGATTATCGATTTCAATTTTTAGAATCGCTTTAATATTACCGAAGGTATGAATTACATATAGAAGAATAAAAAAAAAAAAAATAACAAAAATACATGCAAAAAAAGAATTTTTCGCAACAATGTTTAATCAGGCATGACATGATTGAGTGATAGCTACTTTATAGTATATTTGAAATACTTAAAACACGTACTACTTTTATTAACTACGACTGTTGAGTCTTTTTATACATTTTATGATTCTAAACAATGTGGTCTTCGGTCTTCTAGGAGATTTTAGACGACACGTTAACCTCACGTCAGCCTAACGCGCAACAAATCGTAACGATACAATCATCCAGTCCAATTAATTTTATACAAATTGGTCATTATATAAGAGTGTGATAATTAATTATTTATTCTATATAATTATGTTAATAATGTAATCTACAAGAATGAATATATATACAGTTTTCATCAAGTCAAAATTTTAGTAAATGTGTGCTGCAAAGCGAAAACCTGCAATTTCGGTTTTTACCGGCTATGCTTTTAAGAAACAGTGATCAGATTCCTGATGAATTATAATAAATATTATAATAAATTCTATTTAATGAATCATATGCTGATAAGTGCAGATTATCCCTTTGCAGCACTCAAATAATTAATTCTTATACATATACGTATTAAATTACAAATCACACCAGTGGTGTATAACACCACGGAAAATCTGTCTAAATAACCAAGGCCGGATGTATTAAAATACTTACCCCAACTTTATTTTTAGCTTAAAGTACTATCATAAAAAATTATATGGAATTCAGCGTTATTGGTACAATTTATAATAATTATTAAATCAAATTATTTAAGTTGTTTAATAAATTAAACTATAGACGATTTTAATATCTTCCAGAGATAAAATTTACCAATTATACAGTTTTTAAAAAATGGATTTAAAGTATTACGTAAGTACAAGTGTTTAGAACTTAACCTTTAATCTAAAAATTTTATAATAAATTTGACAGGATTTAATATTTAATGGAGCAAAATCTTGTTTATCACGATAAGGAACATAAACCATTATTCACCAAGTAGCAACTAAATTAAACATATCACGACGTTTAGTATGCCTCAACAATTTTCTTTTTGCACGGATAGCTCTCGTGAAAGAACTATCCAACCTAGCACAACCTATTGGACCACTTAAGAAATAATTTGCATCTATACAAACTAGTTTATCAAGTATTCCGTGTATACCAGCACCATTAAATTCCGATTCGTATTTTGAATCATTTCTAATAAGTGAGAAACCATTCATCGAGACCCATGTATTAAATATTATCTGATCTTGACGATCTTGACGAAGATTGGAATTATTCTTTGCCGAACTATCAAGATTTAATCCAAGTATTTCAATAGCTTTTTTATGAGAATCAGAAATTTTATGAAAAGTTCGTGATTGAGCTTCACCACCGTTAATTGGAAAATCAGTTGCAAGGTAAACATTTTTAATTTTGTGCTTTTTTTTAACCGCTTTAACTTTTTTAATTAGTCTCTCTGCACATTTTGGCATCAAATCTGGATCACCTTCTTCCATTCTCCAATGAATGGCAATATATTTTTTTAATGTCCTTCTGATATCCTTGGATTGATTAATAATATGTGGAGCATATGGAATTACGTTATTAACTTCAGGAAAAATTACCCTAGGAGATTTGTTTAAGATCATTATTACTTCATAATCCATCATTTGTGGAGTTTTTAGAGAGTTGATAACCAATTTCAACATTTCTTCACGAAATTTTGGTAATATTACAAAGAAAAATTCCTTTAAATTCTCAGGTTTTTCTACAATCCCAGTGTGAAATTCTTTATAATTC